AGAACACGAAAGAGAAACATCAAACTTGATGTCTGCTCAGAGAGATGAAGAGGAACAAGAGGACGAATCCTCCAGCCGGAGGAGAAGAAGGAAGGCATCACGCCCACCGTCTGCTCCGAGCGGCAAGGCACTCAGAACAGCTGCCACAGCAGCGGGGTTGTCGGGCTGGTTCGGACACCGTAACCACGGTGGAGCGAACGCAGAGTCTATCAAGACTGATGAACCTTCACTTCCAAACTCACTAACCAGTGAGCAAGACTTCTCCGTCTTCAGCATCGCGTGGAATGTGTTTCTGCTGCTAATGGGCCTACACTGGATGTGGAAGCAGTTCACCAGGGCTCCCATCAGATGTATGGACCGCCAACAATCAAATGCAAAAGCAGCAGCGAAACGACCACCACCATTTCTCGAACCCGAGGATGAACCACAGACGCGTGAACCTTTAGGACCCAACAGGGTCAATTCTGGAGAAACAACGGATTTGCGACCTGTGTGGCACACTTCCCGAAGCGAAGTCTACCATCTTTCAGACAGCTGTTACCAGCTCAAGCAAGCAAAAGATGTTTCAAGGAAGGTGCTGTGTAAAACCTGCCTCCAGGCAGTACAAGTTGCGGAGATTCGCAGGAACGATCCTTTTCAAAGAGGTGATACACGATCACGTGGCACCGAAAGGGACATTGAACGGTTTCAAACCTATGACGATGCAAGTACTACTCCTCATATGAGGCAATTATTCAGTGATGCATTGCATTCACAAATGGCCGAAGAAGCCATGCAGATTACCTATACATCAATCCCTAAGGGATCCTCGGCAAGAGCCAGAGGTACATCTGCACTCGCAAGTGCCTCATCGTCGTCAGTGCCCAAGGCAATGCCACCAGTGCCTAACAAGGCAAACATGTCACCTCCACCTAAGTCTCCTCCGCCAAAGGCGAAAGGAACAGTACCTTCAGATCCTCCGAGACCAAAAGGTCCTACCAGAAGAGGAGGTCAAAATCGGCGCATTCAACGAAAAGCAGCTAGAGAAGCCCATAACAGTGGACTCTGCAACCATGCAGACGCTGCACTTGGCGAAGCCAATCAAGGCCAGGCCATTAACACTATGTGCCGAAACATGGCAGTAAGACACGTCAGCTCTATCGATGCAACGGTAGAAGCAGCCGAGCAGTTTACACAACGCGTGCAACAGCACGTAGAAACATATGATGAAGAGGAACCGTGGAGCACGGAGTTTCTACCAGTCGTGGAAGTCCTATTCAGGAACTTGAGCAGCGACGAAACAACTGTCATACATGACAATCATACGGTAACTATGCCTATTGAGAAATATCTCGACCTCCTCAGAATCGCACAATCATTGCGAAACTCTATCCAGAGAGACAAGGAGGAAAGAAAGGATCATCTTGACACCATCCAAGATACTCTATCCAGAGTGGAAATCCTTCTAACAGCACTGAAGGACTCAAAAACAGTCTTCAATCAATTGGTCCATTCCTCACTAGAGATAGAGCGAAGACATAAAAACCTCAAAAATGTCCTTGAGACACTTTTTGACGACCAAAGCTCTGAGGAAGACCAGTCAGAATCTGACCATGAAGAAGTCCTAACTCCTTCTGCAGCACAGTACTGGAACAGCCTTCATGCCCACGCCTTATCTCCTTCAGGAGATGAAAGTGAAAGATCATGGGCGTCCTCAGACGGACAGCTTGAAAGAAGAAGGGCCGAACGGGCAAAGGCTAAGCAGCCACAACCGGCTAAAGCCGAGGCAACTCCAATCAGCTCACAAGCTGCACCAAAGGCCGAGCCAAAGGCGACTACATCCAACCATGGATATGACACTGCAGACGCCGCCTTCACCAGGGCTGAGAACAGATTACTCGGAATCTTTTCAAGTTCCGAAGAAGATCACTCAGACCCGGATGAACCACATCCGAACGTCTATGCTCGAGCCTATGATCCAAACCTGGATCCGAATCTGAGATAAGAAAATTCTCAGAGTTTCACAACAGTGACTCACAAAGCTCTAACAAGAGCACAATGAAGGGCTGCATAATTCGGTAGAAGAACATTACCAGACCTGATCTTGTACAGATGATCTCTCTGACCAACATGCATGAGTGTGTGCAAAAGGAGTGACCTCAACAGTGTACTTCAGTGCTATACCTAGCATAAACAATATGCTGTTTTTATCATGAGTCCAAACTCCGCAACTGTGACAGTGGGCATAATAGTATATGTGTGAATGTGCGGCCATGCTTCCGGTAAAAGAAAATTAGTGTCTGTTTGTTTGCGTAAACCTCTAAAGGGGTAGCTCTAACAGGTACCTACAGCAATGGCTGCATGCTCATACATATACATTCCGCTGCCCATTGGCTCACAGTGGTTTTACCATATTGAGACAAGACAAGCTCTCCTTGCGTAGCAAGACAAAACAACTACTGTCCGTGTGCAGGGCGCTGCCCTTTGATCCTTAGGGAATAAACTGGTCATACACCTCCTAACAAGGAGCATTTCCTTGTGGGTGTATCGGCTCACCCCCCCCCCGCCCCCTTCCCCCCCCCTCCCCCCCCGCCCCCCCCTCCCCCCCCCACCCGCTTGTACCTAGCTTGTACCTAGCATTAAAAAACATCGCCTGCCGTTTGCCCTGCCGCTACACAGCCGAGGCGGGCGGCGTAGCGTTAAAATTATGATTGTCATTACTACTAATAAATAACAGTAGCAAAAATACTAAGAATAGTTAGGCTTTATATTTATATCACTCTTGACAGAGGCATTGCCCCGAGGCCCCGGCAGCTCATTCAGTCCTTGGGTGTACTCCCTTTCGGACTCTTGGGTCTGCCATGTGAGCAAGAGCTCCTGCACTTTGCAGGCCAGGCGAAGATCCAGACCCTCCCCCCTGCGCGTCCTGGACATTCTTCTTCAACTCCTCCGCTGCTGCGCCAGACAATCCAAAATGGCGCATGTTCGTCCTGGCACGGCGCGCAGTGGCGGTGGAGGCGACCCAGGCTTGCAGTGAGCCCACAACACCACCCTCGTCCTCATTGCATCCATTTCGATGAGCTGAGCCTTGCATAGCATCCGGTACGGCACTTCATGTCAGGGTCTCTGGGGGTTGAGGCGGTTAAGGAGCCTCAGGTATTGCTTACGGCTGGATGCTAGCTGCATCTTCCCTAGAACGTGGGAGAGCGGATGCTTTCATCAGCCAAGGAGCAGGGCTCGGCATGGTCTATGTACAGAGTTTACAAAGTTTACAACGTGCTGCGTGACTCTTGGCAGCTGCGGCGGGACTTGGTGCTGTAACGACATGTCCCTTGGCCTTGGAGGGCCGGGTTCGGCAGCGCAGAAGGAAGACTGCAAAGTTGAAGCGGCTGTCTCAGGCTCGCGACTTCTGTGCGGAATCCCGCAACCCTGCGTGCAAGGTCCTGTCGAGGGAGAGCTGCGTTTCGCCCTTACCTGGGCAAGAGGAGGGTCGTGCAGTCACAGCACGCGACTCGTGTCAGACACCATGGAATCAACAGCGATGTACTCTCGCGGGGTGCCTGCAGACCTCGATAAAGAAACTCAACAAAATTGGGCTGCGGTCGCGAGGATTCTTGTCTGGACCCAAACCCAGACGGTTCTAGGTTCTACAACAGCAAACCAGCATCAGCATCACAGAAACTGCACCATCGGGATCCTGCAACCGACTCCATGAAAGCTCATGCCCTGGAAGGCACACGGTTCCCTGCCTTTCAGGTATGCTCCTCCGCCCGATGCGGTCTTGGCAAGGTGACTCTCGCACACACTGAGTGAGATCTGCAGCCTCACGCCACTGAAACAAGCATTGCCTGAGCTACACACGCCCCCGGCGCCAACAGAACCTCCCTGTGCTTCCATTCCGGCGCCCTGGGTAAGAGGAAGGTGGAAATTGGTACACAGGGTTGCGTGTTGTTCAGGCCGATCTTTCCGCACACAGGTGCTAAACGCGTGCACGCCGGCGAGCACGATGCGACTTCAAGCTGTGGCTGTCGCGGAAGCAGGGAGAAGTAGAGACGGAGGGAGGGAGGTCGAGAGAGCTTTCAGCCTGCTGGGCTTCGTGCTGTGGTCAAGTAGTAGCGCAGCCGAGGCAGCATGTAGCGTTGACTGGCCAACCTTGCATCAGGCAAACCAAGCAAACCACACAGATAGGCAGTATAGCCAAGGAAGCATGTCAAACACGTTTGTTCCCGGCCCCCGAAACTCGAACCATGCACTCCCGCTTCTGAGGGCCACGACTTGACTTGAAGCTTGGCTTCCTTTGTCCGGGCACGTTGTGCAAAGATCCTTGCAACAGACAGCCGAGCAAGACAAACTCTGCAATAACGGTACTATTACTTTGAAGGGTATTACAACAGGTCTTATCAAGGCACTATGGCCTTTTATAGAAGCCAATCATCAGGTCAGCACTGACTGTGTTCCTTGTCGGCCAGACGTTTTGAGAAATCACTCTCTCTCTTCTTCTCCTAGGCTAACAGGCGCTAACTGAGCTCCTGGGCGTCAAGCCCGGGACTTATCTCTCTCTCCTGGGCATGGGGGACCGTCAAGTCCCCTGGGCATCATGCCCACCCAACTTGTTGTTGGGCACAGGGGAGTGAGAAACAAGTGTAGACCGTCCAGTAGGCTAAGGCCGTGAAGTCTGCGATAAGGGTAAGAGGACGATCGTACATTGCAAAAGGCCATATAATTCCCCCGCTGCTCTAGGACTAATCTCTCTCTCTCTCTCTCTGTCTCTTGCCTTGGAGTCCCGAAAGGACACGCCAGAACCCAAAACAAAGAATGCCTGGCTCTACAGCAAGGCCCGCCGATGCCTCAGAATGAGCGATGTGCGGTCAAGGATTACACCTGGCGCTAGCAGGTCAATCATACTCAGTGGCAGCTTAAGGTGGTCGGCTGCAGGCCTTCAGTTTTTAGCCTCTTGCATTGATTCACCAACCGGCTGCCCTTATCATGGACATGACGCTAGATGGCCCTCGGCCACAGAGTTATCCGTACGAGTAGGAGTTGAGGTCGTGATTGCAGTCGATGTTGGCCGAAATGCTGACAACCATCCCCTTGAACAGGTAGGCATTTGACGAACCGCGTCCACGCACTACAGTCATGCACAGCCTTCGCGCCTGGGAAACTTGCTGCAGAAAGGCTCTGACTCATAAACGTGGCAAGGCCACATTCTCCTTCTGGCCTCAGTCTGCGATTTCATCTTGGTCACTCAAGAAGGGTGGAATACAGTATTTGGACTTTGAGGTCTGCGTGAATTGAAGCTTGTGTTGCTTGAAGGCACTCGCTGAATTGGCTAGCGGACACGTAACTGGTACATTGAGACCTCAAGCATGCGCTGCATCCACAGCGGCGCCGAGACGTTGGGCAGGCTTGGGTACTCTACTTCGCTCTGGTTCTCCGCAAAGCCCCAGACGCGATTTGCCCTTTCAGGGTCATCAGCATCCTGAACGACAGGGCCTGCAAGGCAATGAGCTCTGTGCTCTGAAAAAGTCTTTCTGGTTGACACAGCTTGACTGGCAGCTAGCATGCAGTCCAAGAACAGATGGTCCTGGTCGAACACGACCACCCCGAGCTCCGGATCGTACTTGACCTGCGCGAAGTGCCCCTTCATTGTGCTCCATGGATGGGCTTGAATCGCAGCGGGCGTCATTTTGCGGAGCTGCTTCTGAAGCAAAACCTCGCAAGTGTCGACAGCACCCCCGGCACAGAGAGAGGGAGGAGCAGACGCAGCGGGGCCTTGGGGGCTGCATCTTTGACGGCTTGCACTCTGAGATCCGGGGGCGTCTCAATATCCCAACTTCCCTGCACCTTTGACCGCCACACCACCAACCAACTTGAATATCTGAAGCCCAACACAGTGCGGTCTCAGAGTACCCTCGCTGGGCAACAGTTCGGCTGCGGCAAGCATTCGCCCATTCGGCGCTTCTGCTGCACTTCCTTCGCAAATAGACGTGGGTAGTTTCTCACAGCCGAGCAAATATCAGCTGAGCTGTTAGAAGCTGAGAAGCTTCCGCTTTTGAAGGACGAAGGCCTTCAGGAAACTTCCCATCGTCGGACATGATTTCGGTTGCGGGCCATTCCGCCACAGCAACATCCCATGGACTGCTAGAACTCTGCTACGTCTTCAACTTTGCATGGTTTGTAGCACCTCTCGTACTCCATAGCAACAGCTAAACTGGCAGTGCGGCAATCTCTTAAGTACAGGCTTGACTGTTGCACTGGAGAAACAGGCGCAGCACCAGCCATGAACTTCCGCTTTGCTCCGCAGCTGCCGCTTTGACCAGGCTCATGTTAAAACAGCATCCAGCTGAATACCTATTATCTGCTGTTGGGGCTGGGGGAGTCGGCACACTTCGACCGCCACCTCTTACGACAGTCTTGATGACCTGGGCAAGGCTCTGAGGTACATGACATACCTACAAACCTCACATAACAAAGTACCGAACAATCGTATGTAATATCAACGACCATGTAAAATTAACATGCACACATGTACACAACTATTGCTTAAAATGTTTGTGTATATGTATATATGTAGACATTTTCATGGACATGCATACATACATACATACATACATATGTTCGTATATGTGTGTGTACAGATGTCTACAAACATATGTACAATGTTGCATGTCTAACAGATGTATAGATGTATATGTACATGTTCACTCATGTGCTTGGTATACATACAAGCGTACATACATGCATACATGTGTATATATATATATACTGACAAGATCACGATCATGATGTATGTATGCGTATAAACAAAACGCACAGTAATGTAGCGTAGATACATGTGTCTACATATACGTGTATATAGATGTTTACGTGTCTATGCATGCATGATTATGCATGTATGTATATATGTGCATGTGAACATCTCATGCTTCATAGAGAAATGGCCTGTTCCGTAGAGAAGTGGCCTGTCTACGTCTCACGCGGCAACTACGGCAAGACAACTGTGCAAAAAAGGGGCGCGCTCCAGCCCGGCTGGAGGCCCAAAAGATCCCACAGCAGCAAGTGCTTCTGGCGACGTGTGAGAATTAAAAACAATCTTCGTCCTGGAAATAGCAATTGGGGAGGTTGAGCTTTCTGTTTATCAGCCAACATTGCAAGGCGGCACATGACATTCGTCAATATAGACTGATGTATCGATATCCTTCCGACTAGCTGGATTGCTTTGAATCTTCCTCCAATCGCACCTTGAATAACAATGCATCCTGCATCCGGCCGACGTCAAACCTTGCAGATGTAGTTTTGGCCTTTCCACATCCTCACATCACAACGAAGAACTACGTCGGCTATGTCTACCACTGCAACACAACACGCTTGACAACAGGCCTTTCGCAGGTACATAAAAGCGAGGCCCGCCAACTCATGACTCAGGCCAGCCCGAGGATTCAGACACCTCCAGGTGCAAGAGCACTGGATGCAGACTCAAGAGTCGCATCCTTCCGTCAGCCGCGAAAACTTGTGCAAACAATCCACTTCAAGAGCTCATGCAGTGCAGAGTCTCCGGTGCCTCATCCAAACAATCGAAAACGTCTGGCTCGAGATGTCCGCGCCCTGTTGCCGAGAAAGATCGCAACACATCGGACATCGGGGAACCTACTGAGCAGAAAGGCAGCAACCGGTACTCTCAATCACAATCTCATCGAACCCGAGAACTTTGCGGTCGTACTTCACCAAAAAAACCGTGAACCGTGCAAGGCCCCCCCCGAAACCCTGAACCTGAAAACCCACAAATCTTCTTCAACACAGACAAAGCTAAACCCAAGAGAGGTTAAAAACCCTGAGCCCAAAGAGCAAAATGCCACAGCTGTGCTCACGCGTGTGCCACACATCAATATCATTAGCCAACGTGAATCCCAAACCCCCAAACCCAAAAACCCCTGGCTTTCCAGACTTTCTGCCGAGGCACGGTGCTTGCGCGGCAGTGTCTGCCTGCGGCGGTCCCGGGGAGATGCCATGGAAGTCATCCACAGGCTTCACCTCCCGGCTTCGAACAGCTTTGTGTCAGAGATTGCTTCAGGGCTTATAGGGCCTTTTGGGGGCGTCGTACTTCCAGCACTAAAGCGACACAGGCTCTGACGGGCGATGGATTTCGAGCATTGCATTCTTCTGGTCTCGTGGCAGACAGCTGTTTCGGCGATCAGGCGGCCTTTGCTGAAGATGTGAAGAGCCGCGCTGGCAGCCCCATCACCGCTTGCCAGATGGACTGGGCATTGCAGGCTTCCAGACCGCAAGCTAGTTTACCTTCATCTCCAGTCTTGGGCTTCACGACTTTGGGATACCTATGCTCATAGCTTCGCCTGAATTGCAACGAGGTGTGGGCAAGAGCGGAGGTAGCCCTAAACCCGTCACTTGAACCTCAGACTGCACCGCTCGGCCTTGGAAGCAGGAGCCTCGGGCCCGCTTTGGCCGCCCATGCTCTGCGTCTGGCAAGGCTGCAAGGTGCTCTCGGCTGGATTTGGGGTGCATGTCATGGGCTTAGTGGGCTTCAGGCGGACGCGATCCTTTCTTCACACCTCAGCCAACCATTAAATTGCAGACACCGCCGAGCGCCTTCCGAGTTTGGAATGAAACTCGTCGCGGAACGTCTACTGGCACCTGATGCAGCACTGACAGGGGCTGCAAGAGCTGTGAGCTGCTGCAGTCTTTATAATGGCACTGCGGCGTTTCCTCCTTAATGAAGGACTGAGGAAATGTGCGTAGGGAACCACTGCGCCGACACGCCTGTTCCGGTGTCTGCTTCAGTCTCGGCAAACTCGGCAGGTTGTTTTCCTGCATCAGATCGGATGACAAAGGCAGTAAGGAGACAAAGGCTCCCTCCCTGCCTTCGTGTCCTGCGCGGGGCCGAAAGATTCGGATCTTAGGAAAGAACTCGAGGAAGGCGGCAAGGGCGCATTCGGCACGAAGCCTTCAGAAACGCTTGCGGCTCGAGCTTTTCCCTGTCCCAACGCCCCCGATTCGAGGTTCCGGCTCTCGGAGTTATTGGCATTTGTGGTCCTGCAGCCCGGCGCAAAGAAGAGTTGGAAACAGTCTACCTCAAGGCTTGAGATGGCTTGGCGCTGAGGTCGGCTTCGTCCTGTGAGTCTGAGTGCTGGCGTTCATGGAGCCAGATGCGGAGAGCTGCGGTGCACCTGCTCAAATTCAGATGAGCTGCTGCACAGCTAGATGACCAACCGCAAAGGCTTTGTCATGCCCTACATGGGTATACTGAACTACTTCCCCCCTCCCTGTTCAGTTGCCTTTCCGGGCTGCACTGGGAGGCGGTTCCAACGCAGTAGCCAAAGCTGCCATGGATGCCTTGACTGACAAATCACTTTGAGCTCATCCATGCTCAGTGCATTTGCCGGCTGTCTTTGCAGGGAGGACACGCCGTGGGGCACTGTTGAAGGCTCAGCAGTGCCCACCAAAGCACATGTTAGACCAAGCAGAAATCTCGTGCTGGAGCATACACAATTCTTGAAATCACCATGCTGCCGCGCTCCACAAATCCCCAATTCAACACCTGTTGACCTGCATACCTGCACACTAAACAAGATACACATACATATGATATGCAAGCCAAACGCAATGTAATATAACATGATAACAATGTCATGCTATGTGATTGTATGATCTGCAATATGGTGGTATGATGCGATATACTATGACATGGTCTGGCGTGATATGGCAATGTTATGATATGCGATGATGCGATATGGTATGTTACAGTAGAACAGAAGCAACAATGTAATGGAACGGCATAAAACAGGATATCGTGGAAAGATGCTATACAGCATAATAGCAGAAGATAATATGAGATGGTATGATTTGCGCGTACATATTTTTTATATCCAGAGTCTCGGGTCGTGGGCTGCTACACCGCCCCACCCCCCATGGTATCCGGCAGTTGCCTTTCGTGACAAGGAGGAAGAGCCTGGGGCTTTCACACATTACTGTGGCGTCGTTGTCGTCAGCCAGAAGTGGGCCATCATCAAGCTCAACCAACCCTCGCGTACGGTGGATCCATATACAGCGGCGCCCCAACAATGCTTGCTGGCGTCGGCGTGTATAGACGCAGGTAGGTGCCGGATTGGCCGACTCCAGCCCTGGTCTTTGTTTCTTGCAGGAGCATTACATTGACTTTCAGGTAGTCAAGCTGGCCCTCAACGTACCGAACTTTGGGGCTCCTGCCCCTGTAGAGTGACATTTTCAACGTTAGTATACGGAACGCGGCCATGGCACCATGCAGGACTAGGATCCGGCGCTCCGGCGGTGGGCATGAGGTCCGAGGCGGACAAATGCCCTGGGAGGGCGCTCCCCAGGCAAGGCAACCATCAAAATGGGGAGCGCGGGGTGCTGTCGTGCGTCACACTCGGCAGCAGCCCCTGACAGGTCCTGAATTTGCACAAAGCAACAAAGCTCGCGCGGTGGGATTGGCCAGTTCTTCCCTTTCACGGCAGATTTGGCCACACAGTCCGGTAAGTCGTTCCAGGGGTGTTCTGAATGCCCTCTGACATACTGTAATTGGAGTTGAACTCTAGGTTCGAATCCTGGGTTCGCGGAACTCTACGTTCCAACCCTGGGTTTGCCGGGCATTGCTGTGACAATCATCTCGAGCTGGCTTGTCATTCGGCCGGTACGAACTGGGGCTTCCCA